GGAGAAAAAGGATTTCAAGAATTGAAAATCAAAGCATTTTCAAAAAAAGAAGTAAGACAATATATTAAAAATTATGTTCAAAAAAAAGGTTATATGTTAAATTTGAGTGAAGACACATATCTACAGCATATAACAAAGATACCAGAAGAGTTGGTTAGCAATCCAATTTTGTTAAAGATTACTTTGACCGTCTTACCACGCTTTATAGAGCAAGGAAGAACAATCCAAATAAGTCGTATAGATTTATATGATGAATTTTTAAAGACATGGTTTAACCGTGCACATGAACGTCTGCGTAATATTCGAATGACAGCTGAAGAAAAGAAAATATTTAGAACCTTAGATGATGACAACTTTCCAGAATCTTGTCTACAATTTAGTAAAGATTTTGCCACTGAAATGTTTTTAGATAATAATAAGGTTGTTATAACAAATAAAACAAATTGGAAAAAATTTTTAGGCAATGAAGATACTAAGAATTCCCTGTTACGCTTTAGTATGCCATTAATCCGACGTGAAAATCAATATTGGTTTCTTCATAAAACCTTGCGAGACCATTTGATTGCGCAAGCATTACTGGATGAATTACTGGAGCCATGCGAATCTGCATTAACAGCACTCTTCAACAAGCAGTCGTTTGTGTCAGAGCATGGAGTTCGCCAATTTTTAGCTGAACATATTTCTCAAAAAACGGAAACTTTCAAACCACTACTAGCTTTTATTGAAGCTTCTAAAAATAATGAAGTTAAAATTGCTTCTGCTAATGCTAGTACAATTTTAACACAGGTTGATGCATTATTAGAGAATTTAAATGACTGTAATATTTCAGGGGCTGATCTAAGAAAAGGGAGTTTTAATAATTTGCAGGCAGAAGGAGCCAAGTTAAATAATGTGAATTTCGAAAATGCAAAACTTAACAATGCGAATCTCCAAAGTTCATCTATGCAATGTGCGAATCTTCAAAACGCAGAACTTAATAATGCAAATCTCCAAAGTTCATCTATGCAAGGTGCAAATCTCCAAAACGCAAGGCTTCAGTTTACAAGTCTTCGAGGTTCATCTCTCCAAAGTGCAAATTTTAAAGATGCAGATCTTTCATTTGCAGATCTCCAAAATACGATTCTTCAAGATGTAAATTTCAGCAATGCAAAGCTTCGAAATACGAATCTTAAAAACGCACATATTAAAAACGTAGATTTTACATCTGCAGATCTTCATAATACAATTCTCATAGATATTAATTTCCAAGAATTGTGTATCAAAAATTTAAATATTGATGAGGATGAGTGCAAGGCATTCGCTTATTATCACAAATCAGCAGATAAGGACGATGCTATTGGAACATGCAACGTCGGCTATTGTTATCAAAATGGAATTGGAGTCGAAAAAGATGAGCATAAAGCTTTTACCTATTATAAAAAATCAGCTGATATGGGTAATGATAGTGGAATGTGTAATGTTGGATATTGTTATCAACATGGAATTGGAGTTGAAAAGGATGAACAAAAAGCATTTTCTTATTATCAAAAATCAGCAGAAATGGGCAATGCTAGCGGGACATGTAACATTGGACATTGTTATCGCTATGGAGTTGGAATCGAAAAGGATGAACATAGGTCATTTATTTACTATCAAAAGTCTGCCGAAATGGACGATGCTTGCGGAATGTGTAATGTTGGCTACTGTTATCAAAATGGAATTGGAGTTGAAAAGGATGAACCAAAGGCATTCATTTATTATAAAAGATCAGCAGAGATGGGTTATCCTAACGGAATGTATTATGTTGGTTATTGTTATCGGAATGGTAGCGGAATATCTCAAGATTTCGATAAAGCTATTGAGTGGTTACGAAAGTCAAAGGTTAATAAACGTAGTTGTAAAACAAAACTTTATACCGAAGATTTTTTGTTCGAAGGCGAATATCGAGTACCACAAATTCTTTATAATGAAGTAGAAGTTTATGGAAAATTTTGGGAAATAAAATTTGAAGATGCTCAATTAAATTTAGCTCGGTGGAAATCTGATGGTTTAACACAGCCTGTTGTACTTAAATCTCTTCACAAACAATTTGAACAAGATCCAGAGGTAAATACTTTCAAATAAGTGTAAATTATTGGCAAAATTCTCGAATAACGTAATTTGCTCAACCGGGCAAATGAACAAAGCCGCAAAATGCACGTGTCAGCCAATCATTTGCCAGGACTGTTATCGTTATCGTTATTCGAAAATTTGTCCAATTATGATATTATCCGACAATTTAAGATCATAAGAATGAACGTGATTACATCGTAACGTGTGAAACAAATATCACATTTATGTCATATGAGTTTGTCGGATAACGCATTGTAAACTTTAATTTTACTAATTCTTACCTCAATTTATAAAGATAAATAAGTTTTACATTGCATCTGAAAACCCTACATTTCTACAATGTCACGGTTTATTAAAGGATGATATCGGTGATCGTTTTTTAGTTATGCAGTATACAAGACTGGGTCCTTTATATAGAAATCTTCACGAAATTATAAAAATGAATTGGGATAAAAAACTAAATTTATTATCTTGCATTGCATTCGACCTTCAATCAATTCATTCACATAATATTGTTCTTTCCTTCTTAAATGATAGAAATATTTTTCAGGATGATTTATATAGTGCTTATATTGGCATTGCAATATCTTTTGCTGAACTAACTTTGGATACAGATGCACTCTATTCATTTGTTGCTCCGGAAGGTTTACTTGGTGAACAATGCACATATGCTTCTGATATTTATAGCTTTGGAGTTATCATGTCTGAGATATCAACTGGGCAAAGACCTTTTGGGGAATTTAGTCTCAAACTTGCAGTAAAAATTACCAGAGGATTGCGTCCAGAATTTGCACCTGAAACTCCCGACTGTTATGTCGAATTAGCTAAGCAATGCATGGATTCTGATCCACAAAAACGACCTTCTATTAATAATATTTTAAAAACACTTAACGAATGGAATACAATTATGAAAAATTCTGATGATAATGCAAATGAAATTAAAAAGCAATTTTTGTATGCAGATAAATAGTAAGAACGTTGCCAAATATCACACCCAAACATCCTGATCATATATACATTAGTGATGAATACACTAGTGATGATGATGAAGTCTACCATATGTAAAGACTTAACCAAATGAGCATTTAGAGAACTATTGCATTTAGGGAGGTAAAATCTATAGTATATCAGCTGAACCCAAGTAAAGACATACATTTAGAGGAACTTTTTATTAAGTATATATTTGCATTTAAGGAGGTATGACTGTATATACTAAGATAAACTGTGTACAATAATGTAAGACCCTTTCTTAAAGTTAAAATAAAGTAATCAGTAATGAAATGAACATAAAACTATATTTTTTAAGGTTGTACCACTTAAATGGCTCTTGACTGTCAAAAATTTTACAGTAAATTAAATGTATAATTTCGTATATACCATATATCTACTGCAACAACCAACTTGCATTCGTACTCAACACACGTCAAAAAAAAATATTCATGGGTTGTTTCCCACCAAATGGTATCATTGATTGTTTATTAAATAAAAAGTAGGTATCTTGTTTATAAGTCTCTAATCACGTAATACTTATGTAATCTATGGGCGTCCTCAAACGTCTTAATCATTGGGCTAATGATGAATAAATTTTATATAGCGGAAAAAATATTTATTAGTAAAAAACGTTAATTGCGTTTATTACTTCAATTTGTAAACTTTTTGCGTAAATCATCTTTTTTATATACCTGACTTGTCAAAATTTACAATTTATCGAGTATTCAAAAACCACTAAAGTAAATATTTTATTTCTACATTACGCTTAAAAGTTTTCATAAAAAGCAAATACGGATGCTTTTACGAAAATAACGTGACAACGTTGAATATGTTTTTTTCGTGTAACGGTATAGTTTATTGTAGGGATACGTATCACTTCAACACTCATTTCGTAGACATAACATTTCACCGACATGTTTATCTCATCGACAATTATTTCGCCGACAAGTTTATTTTCCCGACAATTTATCTTACCGAAGCTCATTTCATAGACAAATTTTTTTGATAAATTCCACTAACCTTAAGGATAAGCTGTATATATATGGTATTATAGTCGGAGGGATACTATGGTCAGCGTAGGGGGTATAAGTTCCACTATATAAGTGCTTCAGTAATATTTTATGTACCAAGTGCAACTAATCCATCTTTAGTACCCGGGTATTTTACATTCCCAAGTGCAATTAATCCGTCCTTAGCACTGTTAGACTCAAAACTTGTCAATCACGACCGTCCGTAATATCACGTGATAAATGATATACGAAATACGTGACAATGTAACACATGCGCCAAGAATTTTACAATTTCTACAATTTCTACAATTTCTTATATTTTTATAATTTCTTTTATTTCTTTTAGTATTATTAGTGGACCTATTATGTGTATTAGTTATATTAGATTACTCACAAATTATCTCATAGAATAGACTTAATATAATCGATAGATATAATATTTTCCAGTACAAAAACATGTATAAATAACCCTGTTATTTCCCCTCGAATCAGTAGTTTTCTCGCATAACAAAGAAATAAAGAGTAAACTCATAGTAATACTTCTACTTATATCTTCATATATATTTAGCCGTTTACCTCTTTCATAACTGCAAATCACTTGAATTCTCTTAAAGCGCAATCGCACTAAACCTTAAATTTGCTTAAGCATAAAACGTTAGTAGATATTATTAACATAAACGTTGCTAAAGTAGATTCGTTATACTGAGCTCATAAGAGGTAGCTTTCAGGTGTAACAGTAATAATAATAATAAGTAATAATAATAATAAGTAATCATAATAATAAGTAATCATAATAAGTAATAATAATAATAATGATAATAATAGACAAAGGAAATATAATAAAGAGCAAGCGAAGTATGTGAGATGAGCTGGAGATGAGTTTTTACCGTGAGTTTAGAATAAGTAGAATTTGAATCAACATAATTACAATACCTAGTCCAGCAGTCTGAAATATATTTCCTATATGTGTATCCGAAATGTTCCCGGAATCGTTTTAGTACCCCAGATACTCGTAGGGGATACGCGACTACTGTGCTTTTAATAAGTTTTATTATTATATGCCCTGATACGTAAATACCCACAAAATAGATCCAAATTTTTTCTTTAAAACCATTGCAGGGGATAGCTTACATGTCGGAAAAATACGGTACTTTTTCATTATCAAAATTCAAATATGATTACTACGTACTATGTACCAGCTCGATACATGCACTATGCACTAAAAACAGTTAACTAACGAAAGACGATCAACTTGTTTAACGTAAATTTAATTTTAAAGCTATATACATAGATTGTTTGCTCTATAACCTTTAAATATTATTTCGATGTCTGATATATTAATAATAAATATTAATTTTAATCTTGTATAAGTTAAGTTTGTTTGGTAGAGCGACAAACATAAAGTATATATAATAGCCAAATTTAATTATATTTAATAGTGACCCAAAATAAAATCTTATTAATACATAAGGGGTATTATGCTAACACTTATTAATAAAAATCGGTTTTAAAATTTTTAAAGTGGTGCGAATTTTGTATGGCGCCAATGATAAATTTTCTAGAAAACAGTTAACATTGACATTGGGTGAATTTTCGAAAGTTAAAACCAAAAAAAAAAAAAAAAAAAAAAAAACGATTTAAGACGAGAAATAAGGTGAATGTGAGTATTGTGGCGAATGTAGGTAAAATGGCGAATTGAACATATTACAAGGAAACGAGATTTTTTTATTAAGCAAATCGAATTTCTTCCACTAGGCAAGGTTGTTTAAAATGCTATCATTTACTTATCCTCAAATTTTGGCTTAATACAAAACTTTTTATTAATGACTTTTTTGTTATACGCTTTGGCGCAGAAACTAAATTTTTGCGTCAAAACGTACAACGAAAAAGCCTTTAATCAAAAGCTATCCGTTTGCGCCAAATTTGAGGATAAGTAAAAGATAGCATTTTGAACAACTTTACCTAGTGAAATAATTCGCTTTGCTTAAGGGTAGAGTGTATGTTGATCATTTATCATATGATCTCAGTGGTACAACGGGATTTTATGCATAAATTAAA